TTTAAATAATTTCTCTCCTGTTCTCATTGAAATTCTAAATAAAAAGCACGATATCGCGAAACTATCTCAAAATACTTCAAAATATGAAATATATATATATATATATATAAAATGCTTGATAAACTTCAGCAACTTTCTAGATCGAAATTTATTTTTATACAAATAAATGAGACTTTTGTCGATATTTCGATGAAATGCGTGGTATATTTTCTTTTTATTTTCAATATCGAGTATATATACATTTAATCTTGTATTAATTCTCTTTTTTTTCTTTACTTTTATAAATCATGAGGCAAAAAACATATGAATTTCGAGGAATTATGATTCCTCGAAAATGATTTAGACATGAGAGAATCAAGCAACGCTAATTAATCTTATTGAATAAAATCTGCGCAATTATTTAAAACACACAAGGATCGTGGCGCGAGCCGGGATTTCGCGAGTATCTTCTTTGCGATCGACTATTTCGTTAAAATCGAAATTCAACATTGTTCAACATTGAATATATTATTTCTATTGAAAAAACTAGCTTATTATCGTAATTCGAAAGAAAAGCAATAAAATAAACGAAGGATGCGCGTTATTTTCTATCTTCTTTTTTATTTTCCTGTATATAAAATCGGATTATTATTCTTCTTTTGTGCAACAACAAAAATTATATTTTATATTTTTTTATTTTCAAATAATATTGATAAAAAAATATTTTCTAATTAGTGAAAGAACTATTTTTATTCTATTTTTGAATATAATCTCAATTTAAATTTTAATAAATCGATTGCAATAAATATTCTCTATTCATTTTATTTTTAATTAATCTTGAATTTTTTCAATTAAAATTTTTTCAATTAATTTTCATAAGAATTACATTGTATTTTTTATTATTAAATACAATCTGGATTGAAATTTTAGTTAATTAACAGATAAATTATCGTCTGTTCTTTCTCGAATAATTTCAATTTAAATTTCTCAAAGTAGTGCAGTCATGAGAATTATTCTTTGGTCTAATTATGGATTATTGGATTAATTATTAAATTATTTTGATACTAAATAAAAAATAAAAAATAAAAATTTATATAAAATATCAAAATTAAATGCATCCATCTTTATCATGTAAAAAATTCTTAGGCCATCTTTTTGCAAATAAAAATTACAATTTCTACACTTAAATATTTTGTATAAAAGATTCTATTTAATTTTTATTTAATTATATTGAATACATCTAAAAATTTCTAAATAAAATAAAACAAAATTCAAAAGAAATTAAATCATATCTCTGTAGAAAAGATATCTACATATATATTTTTTAAATACATTTAAAAAATTTTACAAGAATGCAAAATTTTAAAAAAATCATGACTTGAATATCATTTGTTAAATCATCAAAGATCAACTCAAATGAACTATTAATTTAGTTCGATCGAGTTTTTCACCGAAATCCCGGTTTCTTCTATTACACAACATCCACTCATCCAAGCATACAAGTTGGAGTATCGACACGAATGTCTTATTTTTGTGTTCAAATCGTCCCTACTTATACTACGGATCACGTATTATTTTTTCTTCGCAAAATTCGTTCGCTTTCATCGAGCTAAATCGTGAATCAATATTACCTCATCGAATTATATCGGTGGTTACAATCTCGTTTTTCCTCGATTGTCTTTCACTGTCATTCTTTTGATTAATTAATCTTTTGCGCTCTCGTTATTATTATTCCTCTCGTATTATCACCTGATTATTTCTTAGATTTTTTTTCATTTATATTTGTTTAATTATTACTTAACACGATCAGGATGGCATTAAATGATTTGATTCTACGAAAATTATCAACCCTTTGATGACATCATAAAGATTTTCAGTTCGATTATTTCTAGAGAATATGTGTATCTATTTATTTTTGTTTTACAATATGAAAAATTTTCATTAACATCGAATACAATGTTAATAGCAATACAATGTTGGTTATCTAGAAATATGTCGATCTTTGACCGAAAGGGTTAATTTTTGAATTTTTTAATATTTTCATTCTATTTAATATACATACACGATTTTCTTTTTCAAAAATGATAAAATAATATTATGATTCCACTATTCTTACCTAAATGGTCACATCCAACAAATATCACATCGTCCTGAAAGTGTTAATCACGTCTACCGACACGAGATAATTCATATCATAAAGATGTATCTTACATCTTTTATTTCATTATTTCATTGTATTATGTATGCTTTCTTCAAGATACACAAGAATTCTAAGGGAGCGCCTGGTATTTTACTGTTTAGTATCAAAAAAAGTACATACAAGGTAGAAGAAAACGTGGCCGTGGAGATATTTTCTTGCGATCAAAATTCGTATGAGAGAGTTCTCAATCTTGATGGCGCTGCGGAGGAGAGCGAGAGATCCTACCGAGCTTTTTAAGCGTCGAAGAAATTAAACGAAAGATTGATTACAAGACTTTAGAATCGATATGCAAATATCGATTATTTTTTGATGATTATTTTTTAATGATTATTCATAATGATTTATTTGTCCGAAATTTAATTTCACGAGCAAATAGTTTCGATATAGAAACAAATTTTATTTTTCATAATTATACATTATTAAACTTAACCTCAAACTGGTGACGTTACTTTCCAATATCGCTAATATCGATTTAAGAATTTTGAAAATTATTTTAATGTTAATATTATTTTAATATTATTCTCATTTTATTATTATTAAATCAATATCCAAATTTTTTATACCACTCAATAATGGTTTAGAATCTGAATTCATTTATTTCTTGAAATTAAAATCTTAATTTTAGATTGTAAATTATAATGTAAATAAAATTTAGACTTGAAAATCTTTTAACGACAAAAAAAATTTTAAGTTTTCATTTTAAATAAAATAATATTTGGCATTATGACATTAAATTACTAGTCCTTTATTGTTTTCAAGTTTACAGCAGTGTATTAAAAAATTTTATCAAACAATAGTTATGTCAGAAAGTTCGTCAAAAATTTATGAAAATATCAATTAGAATAAAAAATAATAAATAAAAATTCAATAAAATGAACATAATTTTTATAGATTTCTTTGTTTAATTCAAAAATTAATACAATAATCACAAAGAATAATTGAATTTAAGAAGAAATATTCACAATCGTACGGCGCTGTTTTGACGTCACCATGTAAGGTTAAGTATCGACGTTTGAAGTCCGATGTTAGTTATTTAATTATAATTTTGCTGAGAAACTTATCTAAACGAAGATTTTAATCGAATATACAATTGACTTAGACTTTGATATTCTTGTTAATATTAATACATTATATTTACAATTTCGTTTAGACAGGTGTGCAGCTATTTCGAAATTTATATTTCATATGAATAGATTATAAACAATATCATATGATTGATCGATTGGTATGCTCTAGATGATCTTTCTACAAAGCTTACTTCTAGTGTTCTAAATTCATGAAAATTTTTAACATGGGATCTCTGTTATTTATATAACTTAACCTAATTAAGAACATCGCGTTTGTACAGCTTATCAAATATATCTGCGATCAGTCTGCTCGATATCAGCTAACACTAGTAATTTGCGCGACTTTTTGAATGAACATTTTTCTTCGATTTTTTTCTTTCTTCTTTTACACAAAAAAATTCGTTTTTCGTTCAATTCTTTTTCTTCGGTTATTTAATTACCACATTAATTATACAATTGGTAATTGAAGACATTAAGACAAAATATTATTTTCTTTTGTTAAAAAGTGATACAAATATATTTTTTTTTTTTATTAAAAATCTATATAAATTTTGAATATTTTAATTTTGATCTTTTGATAAAATTTTTTTATAAATAATTGTAGTATTTGTGAAGTTTAGTAGAAAAGTGGTACAAATGTATTTTTTAAATAAATGATATAAAAATAAATATAAGTGATGCATTATGAATTTTGTGATGAATTTCCAAATTTTTGATGTGGTATTCCTATCAAAATTTAATCTTATTCACAGACTTATTTTACATTAATAGTACTTAATATTAATAATATTTGTATTACATTTGTACTACACTTTTCTTCTAAATTTTTCATTAAATATCATATAATTTTTTTTTAAAAATGGAAAAGGAATTTTAGGAAATTTTAAAATGAACGATAAGTGATTAAATTTAACCTTTTAACGCAAAAATTTATAATTTTTTTTTTATAATAAAAAGCAATTAAAAGTGAACATTTTAAATTTTTGAATAAAAATTAATGGTTAATATAAAAGAACTGTTTGCGAATAATATCACGGATACATGCGTTAAGTGGTTAAAATATAAATTGAAATACTGAATAAAAAATGTGTATGTCATTGATAAAAGCTAGTCTCGAAGATTTTTTCCATCATTCAGTCGCGAAAATTATACACGTTCTATCCATCAACGCGTCTTTTTCTCTCTCTTTTTTCTCGCGATTTAATTAATTACCGTAATAATACCATAATAATACGAATAAAATATCTAAATGATTAAGGCTTGCTCGTGTTTCTTTATAAATCGTTACAATAAATTCAGGCTTGGGTGAGATTCAACGCGTATGCTATAAGATTTTCCACTTACTTACATTACGTTTTTAATCGATTATGATTTCTTGGACGTACACTGGACGAAAGTTGCGATTACATATTTATCTTTTTTTCTTTCAGGAACTAATGAATTTCGCATCTATGCGAGGAAAATGAAAAATAGCTGAGAAATCATTGTTTTTTTTTTTAATGATTTTCGATAGTTTATGAAAAGTTTTTTTTATTATGTTTTAAAAATATGATAATTTGTCTCATTCAAATAAAAAAGAAATATTAAACCATCATGTGCGATTAGCGTTAATTCGCTTGTAATAAGAAACGTGTATATATATATATATATATATATATAAATCATAGTCTTTAATAAACTTTTTATATTAAATTTTCCATTTGAATACTGGTACAACTGATATTCATATCTTTATCTCATGATGGTTTAAAAAGGAAAGAAAGTAACAACGATTATTAATTGTTATATCACTCCTCCTCGCATAAATACGCCACTTCGTTGAAACTTGTAAATTATATCTTAGGATACGCATTTCTCTGTTAATACACGTAGACGTAAAATCCACCCCTTTTTCATGCTATTACACATTTATTAAATTTATATTCTTAATCACAAATATTACGGAATTATTCGTCCTTAAAAATTATTAGATATACTTAAAATTACTTTACTTTCCATTTTAATCAGGATTCAAGTTTCATTTTTGAATATATATCTCGTTATATCTCGACGATTTGTTAAAGAGATGGGAAATTGTCTAATATTCCTCGAAACAGGAACACGTGAATGATCTTTCGATGAACTCTCACCCAATTCAATTTCGACGCCATTTTTCCTTTCGCATTTTCAGCTCGGTCTCTCATTTCGGTCCTCCTCTTCTTTTCATTCGTTCTATCAAAGACCTCCAGAGAATCTAGGACTCGATTTTTGTCCTTTGAATCAAACTAATTGTCGCATTTTCGTATCTTATTAATCAGGACGAGATCATTAATGTTATCTCATTCATTTCGTGTTAAAATTGAACGATTTTATCGCATATACACGCGTGTATCTTATTCCTCGTTGTTTTTATTCTGTACGATTCGAATGATCAAAAGGATCAGTGAATCGATGACGAAAGACAATTTTTTTTCTTTTTTCTTTTTTCTTTTTTTTTTTTTTTTTATAATAAAACCTTAAGGGGTTTTAAGACGATTTTTATAAATCATAAGCAAATAAAAAATGGATGCAAGAAATTTGATTTATAATAACATACTAATTGTTTTGGTTCATTATAATTTTAAATTAATAATTCTTCCAGCGCTGTCGTAATTTCTTTAATTTCTTAAAATTTTTAATTTTTTTTCATTAATATTTATTTATTTTATTATTTTTTTTTCCATTAATTTTTAAGTCCCGATTTTTTGTTTTTTTTCAGTTGAATCAAATTAAATATTTAATTTTTATAAGAATATATTTCCTAATCGTATAAATATCAATTATATGAAAGAATCAAAGAAAAAAGGAGGTGGTGTGAAATTTAAGTAACAAAATACGTAATTATTTAAAAGAAAAAATCAAAGAGAAAAATAAGAATCTTTATCAAAGAATCTATATATATTCATTAATCTTTTAAACGCAATATTTCAATATCTGTACAAATAGATATAAAACACTTGTATCATTATATATACGTTTCTCTAACCTTTTTTTCCATTCTTTCGATCTCATTTTATTTTCCCTCCTTTTTTTTTTTTTTTTTTT